AGCTGAGAGTGCGTCTTTTGCTGACTGCAGCGCTGCACATAGCTGAAGATGCGTTTTTTGCTGAATGCAGCGCTGCACATAGCTGAAGATATGTTATAGCTAAATAGAACAAATTTTCAAAATGTCATAAAAAATTTTTTCCAAGGAAACTCCATAAATGTGATACACCGTTGGAAAGGTCATTGATAGAGGATTCACGTGATATTAGGTTCATTTGGCCACAGCACTTGGTTTGGTCACAGTGACTTTTCAAAAGTTTGCTATGTTATGGCTAAGTAGAACAAATTTTCAAAGTGTCATAAAAAATTTTTTCCAGGGAAACTTCATAAATGTGATACACAGTTGGAAAGGTCATTGATAGAGGATTCTCGTGATATTAGGTTCCTTTACCCACAGCACTTAGTTTGGTCACAGTGTCTTTTCAAATTTCACTATGTTATGACTAAGTAGAACAAATTTTCAAAGTGTCATAAAAAATTTTTTCCAAGGAAACTTCATATATGTGATACACCGTTGGAAAGGCCATTGATAGAGGATTCACGTGATATTAGGTTCATTTGGCCACAGTACTTGGTTTGGTCACAGTGTCTTTTCAAATTTCACTATGTTATGACCAGATATGTGGGTAGAACACATATTCAAAGTGTCATAAAAAATTTTTCCCAAGGAATCTTTATAAACGTGATACACCGTTGGAAAGGTCATTGATAGAGGATTCACGTGGTTTTAGGTTCATTTGGCCACAGCACTTGGTTTGGTCACAGTGACTTTTCAAATTTCACTATGTTATGGCTAAATAGAACAAATTTTCAAAGTGTCATAAAAAATTTTTTCCAAGGAAACTTCATAAATGTGATACACAGTTGGAAAGGTCATTGATAGAGGATTCTCGTGATATTAGGTTCCTTTACCCACAGCACTTAGTTTGGTCACAGTGTCTTTTCAAATTTCACTATGTTATGACTAAGTAGAACAAATTTTCAAAGTGTCATAAAAAATTTTTCCCAAGGAAACTTCATAAATGTGATACACCGTTGGAAAGGTCATTGATAGGAGATTCACGTGATATTAGGTTCGTTTAGCCACAGCACTTGGTTTGGTTACAGTGGTTAAGTAAAGTTTCACTTTTTCAGCCTTGTTTTTGACATAATAAAAAGACTTTTTTATACCAAGTTTTAATTAATTAAGATAAAGTCGCATTTTTTTTATAATATCTAAAAAAAAAAACTTGAAAAAGTGTTACTTTAATTAAGTTTTGCCTTAAATCTCTCCGAGACTCCATTTAACAAAACTCTGTTAACGGCTTAACAGAGCTCTGTTAACATTTTTTGGTTTGTGTCTTTGCTAATTAAATTTATATATAACTTCACACCCTTCTTTTAAATGACAATCGGAAGGTGGCATCGGGTAGAGTTAAAACAAGCAGAACAAACATGCCGATGATTCTGGAAATTTTTTACAGCTTTATTAAGTTGAGCGTCTACTAATGTCTTCGATACGCTTAAGAGGTGGACTTTTCGGCAAATTATTTAAGATACTTTTTTGGCACTTTCATATTTTTCACTTGACGTGACGTCTGCTTGATTCTGGCTTGTGCACGGGGTATGTGAAAATCAATCAAAGTAGTCGGCGATGCTGGTAGTGCATACATTTGATCTTCAAACATAACTTTCTTCCACCAAATTAACCAACTGATATATGCTTAATGTGTACGCGATGCGATCAGTGCTGCACCTTGACTTTTCCGACATATCCGGAATAGGCAATGTAAAGTGACATACAAGCCGCGGAATATAATCAGCGCGCATTACGTAGCTTTTATTCATTAAGTGTGAAACTGTTTTGTTGCTGCCGTTGCTTTATGTGTTTTTTTTTTTGTTTTTTATGTTTGTAAAAGTTTTCTGAATGAGGCGGGATTTTCTTTACTGTTTGCCTTTTTTTTTTCATCATTCTTTTACATCATAGACAAAAAGAAAGAGTTTTGTTTGCTGCTTAGTTTCGTTAAATGCTCATAACATGGAAAATTATGCACATGCATGCAGTGAAATGAAAACGAATTTAATGGGATTGAGGGAGGGGAGAGCAAGGAGAGGTGAAGGAACATGAATGGAATGCTTTTAAAAAAGACATTTGAGTCCTATAAAAACTCGGAAACGTCCTTATGCTTGATATGAGTGGCATTACTAACAATTTTTGTAATGTGTATGAAATGATAGATGCCTTGCACTCATTATATTGCCTTTTTTTTCTATTGCCCCTATATGTATGTATTTAAGCGTCGTCTGTCTATATGTGCAAAAGTACATAATGTCTAGTATTTTAACGTTTTTAATAAGTGAAACATCGCTCTAACATTGAGGTGGAATTTTGATGACAAATCTTTTCAGGGTATCCAAGATTCGATCTCAGGTGAATAGCTTTCTTCCCTTTTTTGATTTTTATACCTTTTCAACATTTCATTACATTATCTTTCAGAACTTTTGAAAGAGAATAATAAACAAATTAATAAAATTAAAAAAGATTACATTCCACCTTCAGTTCAACTCGTTTAGCTTTATTATTATGGGCCGTCACATTTAAGCATTTCCTTACATATTTCTCACTTCATCTCAATTAATATATTTTGTGTTTCTAAAAACTGTTTCAGATTAATCTGTTGACGTCACCTTTAAATGCCCTAATACGTTATCGTGGCCTACATTGGGTACTTTCTTCCTTTCTAGTCTGTCGCACAATGAATAAACCGAAAATTGTGATAGTCGGAGCTGGACCATCGGGTATTGCCTGTGCCACTAAATTGCTTGATTATGGCTTCGAAAATGTTATGATCGTTGAGGCCGAATCACGTATAGGCGGTCGCATTCATACTATACCGTTTGCCGATAATGTTATCGATTTGGGCGCTCAGTGGTGTCATGGAGAAAAAGATAATATCGTCTATGAATTGGCCCATAAACATAATCTCCTGCAGTCAACGGGAGATGTTTACGAAAGTTATCAATGCATACGATCGAACCGTGAAATTGTATCGGAAAGTATCAGTCAACGTCTAAAAGATATTGTTAACGATAGTTTAGTGACGCGGCAAATGGAACTGAGGAACTCGAATGGTTCGTTGGGCAGCTATTTGACAAATAAATTCTATGAGGCTTTAAGAAGACCTGAAAATTCTGACATTGATATGGCGATAGCCCGAGAGTTTTTTTGATAATTATCAGAAATTCGAAAGTTCCGTAGAGGCTTCTGATACATTGGACGATGTGTCTGGACATGGTTACTTAGAGTACTGGGAATGTGAAGGTGATATATTACTAAATTGGAAGGACAAAGGCTATGTGGAATTTTTACGTTTGCTTATGAAAGCTCATGAATACAATCATGAATTTGGTTTGTTAGAGGAGCGGATATTACTTAATCACCGGGTTACCCATATCGATTGGAATCGTTATGATTCTTGTGTTCAACTGCGTTGTGGAAATGGCGAACATTTTCTTGCTGATCATGTGATAATAACCGTGTCGTTGGGTGTTCTCAAAGAGCAACATTTAAGAACGTTTGAGCCAAAATTACCGATGGATAAGCAACGAGCTATCGATGGCTTGGCGTTTGGTACTGTAAATAAAATTTTTATCGAATTTCCTGAACCATTTTGGCCGAAAAAATGGACAGGGTTCACTATGCTCTGGCGCGAAGAGGATATAGGTGAGATACGGGGCACTGCACGAGCTTGGCTTGAAGATGTTTTCGGTTTCTATTGTGATCGTAATCAACCACGTTTGCTAAGCGGTTGGATAATAGGCGCCAATGGTCGCCATATGGAAATACTGCCCGAAGATGAAATTCTAGATGGTTGCATGTATTTGTTTCGAAAATTCCTACCTTGGGATATACCGGAGCCGTGCAATTTCAAGACTTCCACTTGGTATACAAATGAAAATTTTCGTGGTTCATATTCGTTTCGTTCGATGTATACCGAAGAAATTGGAACTAGTGCTCGTGAATTGGCTCAACCTCTGTATGTAGTGACGACGAAACCGCTGCTAAATGGCCAATCGAGTACGGAGCCTTTGTTCAGTCAAAGTCGTTGTGATAAACCCGTCGTGCAATTTGCCGGTGAAGCTACCAGTGATCATTATTTTTCAACTGTTCACGGTGCCGTCGAGGCCGGTTGGCGTGAGGCGAAACGTTTAGCCGAACTCTACAATATGATTAACGGTGCTCGTGGGAAGATTGCAAAATCACATTTATAACAGTTCTAGGACTTTGAATGTCATTAGTGGCATTTAAAGTCCGCATAACGTAACTGAGAACCATAAACATATACAGAAATTAATACAGAAGACATCACATATTATCTATATCTATATCTTGATTTTAAAACAATATAAAATTTTTTGTATTTGCTTTAAGACACAGCTAAGTGCAAATTATATTTCGGATAATGCTTTTTATTCTTTCGGAATACCAAATCGCGCAAATAATTTTAGCCCTTTGTTTTGTTGTTATATGTTATCGTTTCAGTCTACGTTTATGACTTTAGATTCCCATATTTTTATACTGATATATATATATATATTTTTAGCCTTAAGGTTAATAGTTTGTAAACATTTACTTGAATCACATAAGTAATCAGAAGCGATATCCTCGTAAATATATATATATATATATATCCTCTAGAGGAATTCAAATAATTATTGTTGCTATGCAATTATTGAAATTATTGGAATCTAGCAAGGAAGAGTAATAGAAAAAAATTATATACACGTACACAGAGACATATATATACGCATACACACACACACACACACACGCGCACATGCACACACCTACATATTGGCAGGTTTGTAATAATGTATATATCTGCACATAAATTTACATAGATTTCAAATCGTATTTTGATATTAAATGATGACTCCTGGCGGCTGCTCGATTCAAAAACCAAAAGAGAAACTTATTCAAATTTCTGCAATGATAATTAATTAATTGGCTATGAAACTGTAATTTTTTCTTTTTGTTATACTCCTTTTTCATTAAAGAGAAAGACAGAGACTAGCTTCTTGTATCCTATAAAAAAAACAAAAATTTGAAAATATAATAAAATTTAATAAAAATAACTAAAGAACAAAATATTTTAAGAAACTGACTGTGTATATATATATATGTATATTTTAATATGTATGTACGTATATATATATTAAAAATGTAAAAATAAAAAACTGATTATTTTATTCTAATAAATGACTACATGATATGCACAAAAAAACGTTAAAAGTGATTGATTTTTTATCAATTTATTCATTTTTATACCCAGCCTCGAAGGCTGGAGGGAAAGAATTTTCCGAAACCCGTAGAACGTACATATATTCTTAATTAGCATCAAATTCTAAAATGATTTAAGCATGTCTGTCTGTCCGTCTTTTTATGATCTTCTGTTAACATTCTATATCTACGCCGGATCAGCTTCAAATTCTGTATCAATTAAATAAAGCATATCTATCTATCCGTCTGTCTAAAAATTTGTTATAAACATTCTACATAAATTTTTAATTAACATTTAATTCTAAATCGATTTAAACATATCTGCCAAAAACATTCTATACGTATTTTTGATCAGCATCAAATTTTAAGTTCGTCTATCCGTCTGTGAAGTGGTTGTTGTAAACATATTTTGTGCCGCAAACATTTTTTTAACAAAAACATTGGAAGGTCAGGCGGATATTGTAAATGGTCTAAATCTGTCGAAGGACGCGCCTATCGAACCAACTAAACGGAGAATATCTCTGTTGTTGAAATGCACGAAAAATTGGGCTCTTCCTCATTAGTTGCAAACTACAGCTACTTAACTGTTGCGTAATAAATTTTTCTTTTTTTCAAAACCTTTATAAGGCCTAGAAGCAAGTTTCAAAAGCCCAATAAAGTGCAGACATTTTTAATCAATGCCAAATTCGAAATTCTTTTAAACATGTCGGCCTACTCGGCTGCCTCAATCTAGAATCTGCGGACACATTCCCTTCTTCGCAGAAATGAAAAGAGTTTGAAAACCGCGTAAATCGCTTAAAGGACGAGCTCATAATGCAATGAAAACTGAGAATGTATTGGCTCCGCATTTTTTTGCTCGTTACTTATAAACTACAAAAAATACAAAATATAAATTTTCACTTTTATTTTTCTATAGACAAATTCAGGCACGTCCACCCACTGTTATAAGGTCATAGCGCGTGTGAAATGGCCACTTCTGCCATCTAATCTTTACAGAACGGTAAAGATTATCTCGGTGAAGTGTACGAAACATAGCGTTTGGATATCGAGTTCTGTGCCAAAGAAAAAAGCGTAACGTGAGAAACGCATCAGTTCAAAACAAAGTGCCTGGCGGTGCTCGTAAATTGTGCCGGCCGCTTTTCGGCCGCGCATATAGAATTATTGGATTACTTTCGGCATTGCGATAACATTTCTCTTGGAACGTAATCGAACTTAATCGACATATCGATTTTCTTTCCCGTATTATAAGAACAAGTTTTCTTTTTCCTTTTATCGGTTGACATTTTGTTCAAACAGACCGAGCAGGGGCAAGATAATGGAAAAATTAGTAAATAATAATAAATTCAAAGTTTAAATGTGTTTGTTCCCGTTGTTACGCAAAAGGAAACGCAAAAAAAGTTCGGCCCCGCTTGAAGGACCTAGTTCGGTGTTGTATATACAAGACGGCGGCCCCAAAATCATCATTATTGGAGCAGGAGCGGCCGGATTAGCATGCGCAATGAAATTATTAGATAACGGTTTTACTCATGTACGTATATTGGAGGCAGAAAATCGTATTGGTGGACGAATCTTGACTATACCGTTCGGCAACAATGTTATCGATTTGGGTGCACAATTTTGTCATGGCGAGGAGGATAATATTGTTTATGAAATGCTCTCTAATCTTGATCTTCTAGAAACAAGTGCCTCCGTGTACAACAAATATGATTGCATACGTTCGAACGGTGAAGTTTTATCGCAAGACGTTACCGAAGCTTTAAAATCAGCTATAGCAAGTATTTTTGATGATCCCATAGAAGCCGGTCCTCACGAATCATTTAGTGAGTATTTAAGAGAACGCTTCTTTCAAATTATAGACGGAAAAGAAAACGTTAGTAAACGCGTTGCCGAAGAGTTTTTTGAAAATTTTAAGAGGGTAGAAAGTTCGGAAACAGCATTTGGTATAGAGGAGGCATCGGCAAAAGGTGTAATCGAATATTGGATATGTCCTGGTGATTATATGTTGAATTTTAGGAATAGAGGGTACATCAGTTTTTTACGGGTATTAATTGAAAGTTCTGACGATCAGTTCCTGGGAAAAATGGAGAATCGTATCAAATTTAATTGCACCGTTGAACAAATCGAATGGGGTCAACCAAATGGCAAAGCCACTGTCAGATGTAATAATGAAAATATTACTTTCGAAGCTGACCATGTAATTGTTACCGCATCGTTGGGTGTGTTAAAGGAACGCGCCGATACCCTTTTCGTACCAGCATTGCCCTTGCAAAAGAAACGTGCCATCGTGGCTTTGGGCTATACAGGTACCTGTAAAATATTTTTAGAATTCCCACAAAGATTCTGGCCAGAAGATTGGACTGGTTTTACAACGTTATGGCGCAAGCAAGATATTGACAAGTTAAGACGCTCCAAATGGGCTTGGCTGGAGGAAATTTTTGGTTTCTATTGTGTGAACTATCAACCGCGTGTATTATTGGGCTGGATAGTGGGACCATATGTTCTTAAAATTGAGTCCTTACCGCGTGACGTCATACAGATGGGCTGTATGAAACTGTTACGCCGTTTCTTACATTCGTGGCTAATACCCGAACCTATCGCTATATGTGTTACAAATTGGCATAGTAATCCAAATTTTCGTGGCGCCTATTCATTTCGTTCAATGTTGACTGAAGAGCTTGGCGTATCAGCTGAGCAATTGGCCGACCCATTGGTAGTTGTAATGGACAACCAAAAATGCCACGATGGCTCAGATTCCGATTCAACGAGTAAGAAAAGTGAAACAACATTTATTAAGCCTGTCGTGCAATTTGCAGGCGAGGCTACAAGTTGTCACTACTATTCGACCGTTCATGGTGCTGTGGAATCGGGCTTTCGTGAAGCTGATCGTATTTTGCAATATTACTCTCATGAATAATATTATTCTTTGTTAAATAAAAGCATTTGTTTTCAAAAATCTATTCTTTAATGAGTTGTGGCTTAAAATCTAATTTTGTTGCATGCTGCAAGGCATTTGCATATAAATCAAGACGCTGAGTCATTGGGAAACCCCAAAAATCTTTGACTTGACGGCAAAGATTCAAATCTATCTCGGCTATTACTAAACCATCTTGATCTCGTGAAAGGCTCTAGAAAAAGGAAAACAAAGGCGATTTAATTAATTAACGCATTTGTAAATATATGAAATAAGTTTGATGATATTCACCGGAGTTCGGCTACCGTCCGGTGCTGTGATATAACTTGAACCATAAAATGGACCAAATATCGTATGAGGATCATTTCCATCGCCCGAAGTGAACCTTGAGAAATGAGAATAAATGGTGAAAAGTTTTAAATTACAATGCGAAAAATGCACTGAACTTGTTAGGGAACTCTTCACTGCCAACGCGATTAATTGCTACAGTGAAATAACTGTTGGCAATGGCAGCATTTCTGGCTTCTATCGGCCATAAGGGTTCGCTAAGTGACCCTACAGTGGCTGAAGGATTGAAAACAATCTCAGCTCCATTCACGCCGAACATCATCCAATTTTGCGGATGATGACGTCCGTAACAGATATTAACCCCTATGCGGCCAAAATCTGTCTCGAAGACCGGATGGCCAGTGTTGCCTTCCATGTAATAAGTTGATTCATTGAAATCTCCTACACGGGGTATATGATTTTTGCGATGTTTGCCTAAATATCGACCGCGATTTGATATTATTACGGCCGTATTCCAAATAGTATCACTATGATTAGTATCCCGCTCTAGAATCGGTGATATAATGACCATATTAAAAGCCTTGGCCCATTCCTGTAACATTTTAGTTGTGGGACCGTTTGCAGCCTCTTCGGCAAATTCACACCACGGGAATTTCTCACGTGTACAAAAAGCGAAGGGCATGGCTGTGAATGAGAAGTAATGGCTTAAAATAGATTTTATATAATAAGCGTAGAGGACTCACTCCATGCTTCTTGCAAACAAATGACGTTTACATTAGCTAAGGCTGCTGCTTTGATCATTACTTGAACTTTTTGCCATATGGCTTCGCGCTGCGTGTCAACGGGGCTGCTAGTTGGTAATACTATCGAATTTTGTATAGCTCCTATGCGAACTATACGGGGTAAACGGGTACATTCAGCTTTCGCAGTGAAACGATAACCTTGAATTTCGAAACCATGCTTGGAGGCCAATTTCGTTGCCTCCTCCGATAGTTCAATCTTGTTGCTGTGGAAGGTAAAGAATTCTTGTAAATATTTTAAAACTTTCTGCTTTCGTCTCGCTCTTAAGAGAACAAGAATAAAAAGGCTTGATTCTCTTTATATTTACTCTCAGTCGGTAAATTCCAGTAAGAACTGAGACAATAAGTTATTTAAGCCCTAAGTATATTAAGCATCGAAATATTGCGATATCTCTTTTTGTTTCTTACTTACTCCTCTGAACGGCCATATAATAGCCTTTTCACTTCTTTTAAATGTTCATCGTTCGATATATACTTTTCCAGGATTTCTTCTAAAGATTTTAAATCAAAACTCGACATTTTTGTTTGTCGCCTCTAGACCGCTAATAGATTGAAACTGAATCACACAAGTAATTTGCAAATACTAAGCAAGAAAGATCGTATGAATTACAAACAAAAATGAAAAGTTTATATCGGCTTAATTACACCCTAATGTTCAAAATTTTTTTTAGTTTCCTCGATTGTCTTTAACGTTGCATTTACAACCGCAAAAGCAATGAGTATTAAAAATTGTTAATCAATACAGTTTGATTTGTCTGTCCATTCGTCCACCAGTCTGCATGCATTGTAAGGGATATTGAAAATTGCTTTAAACTCCCTCATCAATGTGCTACATTTTGACGATTTTGACGTTTTCACTTATATGTTCGTCCGTCACGCCCTTATACCCTACACCACTTGTTGTGCAAATTTGTGCTGTTATGTGCAACACCTAGAAGGACTTGACAGAGGTCTACCTTTCATTACACCGAATCACTTTACAGTGTCCTTGGCAAAGGATGAATGCACTTTTTCGATCCCGAACACTTCCTTTATAACACTTTATTTTGAGAAGAAGTTGCATGAATAAGTGTAGGGCGGTGTAGGGTATTTGAATATGGATCTTGGCTCACTATAATGTGTTAACGTGTTTCTGTTCGAGAGCAATCGACTATTTTCGAAAAAAAAACATAGAGAATATTACAAATTCGTTGCCTATATTTTCGTTGATGTAAATATTTTCGTTTACCTTTTCCTCCGTCGGCCTACGCTATGAAAACTATGTCCATCTGACTCGCCACAGTTATAAGAAGCAATTGTAAGATATGTACACTGAAACCTGGTAGAAAATTGACAAATTGTGGTTCAAGTGTTCATGTTTCTAAATCGAAAAACTAAAATAGAAAATGATAAGTTGCCCTATGTATCTGCCAAGCACAATTTCGAAAACATTGGAAATTTGTTTTAAAATTGCAACTGAGAAAATACAGAGACGGCGAATTTGATAGGCGTTTATCAATATTTTATATGAAATAACATACAATAAAAGAACCGCAAGTATTGAGAAAAAGGTATTAAGATAATCAAGAAACTTAATAGACTTAGTAAAATGTTTCAATTGACACTTTTTTCAGCTTTTATTTATTTAATCTACATTTCGTTCGCAAATTGAAGCTTTCAGTTTCGTTGTCATCTCTTAAAAGCTTTTCGCAGTAATCTTGAAGAGAGTACAAGATGCTCTTAAAAGAGAATCAATTCATTGAACGTTCTCTCTCTCGTAATGTATGTCTCTTGCGCATTTAATAAAATATTTAAATAAATAAATAAAGCAGAGGCACAAATAATCCTGATTATCATTACATTTCATATTGCGTCACTTCATAAGCGTTTGAGGCAAATAAGCCCATATTGATACTACTCAACGAAGGTAAGTGAACTTTTTACAAAAGATCTTAAGACTGAGGCCTGTCTCTCCCTCTTTTACATTCGCGCAAATTTAATATTCCCCTGTACCATAAGCCGTGTAACTTCGTTAGTGTTGTTGGAGTGCAGATGTTTTTCTCTTATTTCCTTCTTTCCACATTTGGAGCATGTCGGAGTTTAGGTTATATATAGTTATGAAGAAATACAACAACTTTTCAAAATTATTTAAATCACTTCCGCAGTAAACTTTCCAGCGATCGAGGGAAATTTACAATTACTTTGATCGTCTCGATAAACGAAAAAATTTGAGTTGAAGTATTACGTCGCTTAATAAGTTTTCGAACTAACCATTCCAAAGAGAGTTTTCTCTAAAATTGTGGATGATCTGTTTTTCGATATCTTTAGGGTGGAACTTTACTTTTCGGTTTTCCAAAACGGCTTTGAGCATTTTTCTACGTGTTCTAGAACAAATCCCGAATTTGTGCTACTAGAACGTTCAACATCATCATTGTACGCATGGCTTTCTTTTAAGTTAGCAAACCACCTATAACTTTATATTTTCGGATGTCAAGAATCAGCATAACATCTCCCAGGCCAATATTAATTGTTGACAGTATTTATTCGCATCAAAGAGTAGCGTTCAGTCAGAACCGCATTTCAGAGATTTGCATTCTTTCGAAAATAGCAAGAGTGGCCCCACCGCAATTACCGTAACTTGTAAGCTAATTGGGAGAATGTCACGAAATTTTGATGTGTATCATTTGAAAGTTGGTGCTATCCAGATATCTTTCATATGCACATATGTGCATGACCGGTGGCTTATTGAGTGATGTGTTACGCACTTCATACCGAAAAGAGAGAACCTAACAGGACTAGCCGCGAGGATAATCCAAAAGCATCGAGCATTCATTACCATTGTGATCACTTGATATTGCGTATAAAACTAAGACACCATGCGTGTAGAACCAGTCTTTTTCACTCAAGAAATAAAAAGATTACAAGGATTGCTTGCTACCAAACTTCGATAGGAGGTGTTTAAACAATGGCATCTTCGTTATAGACATATTCGCCATGATCTACTAATGCCTCCACTACTTCTTTAACAAGCAAAAGCTTGAGCTTTACATTCAGTGTCACATAGGCACAAAAGATAATGGTTTGAAGTGCCCTAATGTGTTCTTCTTCTTCTGCAAGCTATAAAATCAACAACAGATGATGTACTGTGTTGAGTGAAAAAAGGTTATAGCAATTTCATTGTGTCAACACCAAATTTCGGCTAACGGAACCAGAAAAGTAATAGTCCCTTAAAGCACTAGCTCATTATTTTTCGTATTGGTCGAAACAGACAAAAAAAATGTTTTGAAAACAAAGTTTGGTGAGGTGAGTCTATACGCAAAGTAGTCATCCATAAAAATCATTTCTTTGCTCTAAATAAATTATAATAATGATTATAAAATTGAAGGAGAAGGATCTCAGTCCAAAGGCGAAAAAAATTGGCCACACACACTCAACCCCTTAGAAATTATAATGCAAAGAAAGGAAATATCAAGCAAGACTTCCCATACGTAAATGAATGATAAGTTTAAAGCAAACCTTAATAGTTGCAGCTTAAATGTGGTCGAAGGGAAAAGCCTTATTGAACTTTGTAGCGACACCATTTTTGGCAAAGTTTGCTGCAAGCGAAAGTGAAGAGTTTGATTGCTATTGATGCCGTTTAAATAAATTCATTAATAGACTCACATAACCAATTATGATAGTTGTAGAGATTGGATACAACGCATCATTAGATAGTTAATTGTTTTGGATGAGTATACTCGTCATGAAAAATGCACAAAAATTTGTGCGAAGACCAATATGTTCGTCATGGGTAATGAGTAGTGTTTTTTTTTTCAGTAACAGTTTTATATAAGACAAATTACCACGTAAAGCCTGAAGAGTATTGAGTAAGCCGCTTATATGGGTTTGCCAGGTTTTATCAAGTTTTACGATTCCTTGTAGGGTTTCCCTTGTCAAATTTTATGAGTTAAGTGTGTTTGCCATAACAAGATATTTTAGAAAATATTTTCGTCTGATCGAAGAAAGTGAATCAATCTTGCAAAGCTCCATTATTCATTTTACAATGCTTTGCTCAATGCCGTTCTCTAACAGCAAACGTCCAAAAACGTCCAAAAAATTGATGTTATCATCAGCAAATAAATAAATATGAGTATAAATAAATAAAGGAGAATAAAAGACATTTCATTATAATTTAATTTCGGCATACTATGTGATTGACGAGTATACTCGTCGTCGCTGAATTTTTTGAACGCAATTTAAATTCGCGTTTCGCAAAGGCACAATGAATTATCTGTTGTCAAAAAAGTTAACTTTCTCACAAGCGAGTGCTATTTTTGGTAAGAAGTTATCTCCTTGTTCCACTGAATACGGACATCTTTCAATCTATGGAAGTATTGCGATGAAAGACGAGTATTGTTTCTATTTAGCAATATATATATATATATTTTTTTTTTCGGGCGGAGTCGCCTGAGTGGTGAGTCCGGCGATGAGGTCTACGCTTGCGGGTTAGGTATCTTAGATCTTTTTCGGTACTGATGGATGTCCCACGGTTAGTATAACCTGAGTATAGAATATAATTCCTATCTTTCCTTTAAATATTAACTCTTTTTTTTTTTTTTTTAAGAAAAAGTAGTTTAGTAAATTCAATAACTAAAGAAAATCGCAATCAGTAATAAGTTGTATTTTATTGTTGTTGTTCTTTGCATATGAGTTTTTTAAATTTTTCCTTTCTTTTGTGTTTCCGTTTTTTTTTTTTTATGTTTCATTTCTTTCGATTTATTTATTTAAACGGCCATCAAATACGTGGATTAATATTTATATAATTTTACATACATACATATATTACAGAATTATATTGAATTGAAATTCTCTACAGTTTTAATTTTTTTTTCATATTTTTATTTCAATCAAATTCATTTTTCTCTTTTTTTTTTAATTTTTAAATATATTTGAATTTTAAGGTACATTTACAACAATTTCGAGGTGAATTTGAAAGAAAAAACTTGATGTTGGTTGCAGTCATAGTTGTTGGTTTGTTCGATTTATAACAAGTGAGTGAGTATCAGTGAACAAAGGGTATTAACGGATTCTTTATTTATATATATGTTTTTACGTTTTTTCTCTTTTGTTTTTGTTTTTTTTTTTTTAATAAATTTTTTAAATTCCTTTTATAAATACAATAAACTTTTTTATGATATTTAATAATAAAAAAAAAGAACATTTGCCTCCACGACACAATAGTTGTTGCAGTTTTTGCATTTTGTTTTTTCGTTTTTTTTTTTTTTTTTTATACTCACCACCGCACATTAATTGTATATCAATGCATTTTGATGTTTACTTTTCTGGCAAGAGTGAAAGAAAGTAAGCCATAAATGCAATTGGAAAAAATATATTTTCAAAATTCCGAAAATGGAAGGCTGAGGACTAAAAACAAAAAAGGAGGGAGGAAAAGGGAGGGATTCGTTTTTATTCGATAAAACTTTAGTTAGCCTTTAACAATAGATTTACCTCAACCGGAAATTTATTGTGAATTCAAGCCCGAAAATTCTGCGAAAAGCAGTAGATATCTTCAGGTGTTATTTATGGGTTTTGTAATGGTCTTATGAAGCAAATATACATGTCAACTATTTTCTTCTACGACCCGCCCGTTTTTCTATTTCTACATGTGGCATACGTATTTTTACCGAAACATCTGAATTTTACGGGTAACTTTTATGAATCGCCATAGTCGCACAAATTAAGATAGGATGTTGAAATTAGTCACAAAAGATTCCCTGATCGACGGAAAATACGAGGTCAAAATACGGGTATGATGTGGTCACAAATACACCCACAATGAAGGAAAAACCAAAAACACCTCGAGAAACATCGACTATTTCTTCAAGTGTACATCAGAAACGCCTGAATGTTTGGTGTAAAAATGATCCCTATCAATTTATTGAACATTCTAAAATAAAAGTTTAGTTACAACTTGTTTCCAATTTATTTCCACATCGATCAAAGAAAGTTTGTGCGAAACGATTCCCAAAGTGACCCGTCAACTTGACGGGTTACAGTGAAAATGTGTATATACAAAATGGCGGTAAATCTATTGCTTGGGCAGTGATGCACAACTTCGGCTTGGCATCCATAACTTAAAAGAAACAAAAAACGACTAGCTCTCTGTACCCACTGTTCCTCCCTTGCTAATAAACTCTGATCAGCTCGAGAAAGTAAGATATATTTAGAGAAGGATAACACAACTCTTAACGATAAGCTGAAAAATGTGTGATCTTGTCGTCCGTTTACCGAGATCTTTTTCCTGACAAAACTTACTTTTGATCAGAGTAAAATTCAGGGGTTAGCTCTTTCTCTCATCTGTCTGTTTGCCCGTGTGTTGTTGCTTAAACTTGAAAGTAAAGTGTTACAAATTTCAAGACATGTGTCATTATGTGGTGGTGAGTATGAGTAAAAATATTCGCTTTAAAGCGAATAAAAATCAGTTTTTTTTTTCATTTCCTTTTAGGTTTTTGGTGCTTATTTTCGCGCTTTTTGGTTTTCTTACACACAAAGTATCTTCATTTTGTGTATTGTTGTTGTTGTTTATTTGTTTTTTTATTTTTATTTTTGTTTGGCATTTGTTTTGTAGCAGTGTCAGTTGTGTCTTTTATTCTCAGTGTATTTATCTACACGTACTTGGCATGATTCTTAGATGCCCTTTACACTTATTTCTAGATATTGGGCCGCAATTTACTGAACCCATGATGCCGGTGCCCAGAGTGGTTCGTTTTCAATGCGTTGCACTGTATTGACGAGTTTTTCAAATGCTGTCACCAGATCCCCGTTTAGAATCTCTTCATCAAAGAAATGGCCATACAAGAAGTCTATGCGTTCCGCCGATTTGATCATGTCGTTAAATTCGTCCTCCTGTCAAAGAAAAAAAAAAAAAACAATAATTTGAGAAAATATTTCAGTTTTTATATACACGTGTAACATATAATTATATTTACAAATCCACTTCCCCTTTTTTTTTTTTGCTTTCCGATAAAATTTCTTCCCTAATTTTCTAAATTCTTTTAGTAGAACATTGAAGCGAAACGATTGTTCTGCTTAAAAAGTGAGGGCACTTTTTTGGTTTGGCAGTAATTAACTGATGCTCTTTAGTAGTTAATGCGATGCGCTACCGATCAAGTGAACATGGTGTTTCTGCATTTAATTTTTTTTTTTTTTTTGCCTAAACACTTACGGTTGGCTCTAACAATTTATTAAGGGCGCGGTCAGAAAGAAATAGGGAGACCGACAGGGATAGGCTGTGACTGCAGGCTTATCGGCGTGTTGAGCATTCATTGAAACTACGACCGCACATCAAGCGTGGTCGAAGCATGATTCCACTGTAATGGAAGTTGAACACCGATTAGCCCATCGTGATTGGCTCGCTTCTTAGATGTTAGCGTGGTATCGTCCAACTTCTTGCAAAGGAGTTCTCACTTAAAAATTGAACCGAAAAAAGTCCACAAGGCTACGCGGGGAGTTATTGTGAAATAATTTGGGACTAATATCAACTTTTGATAAAACGATAAACTTTAATAATGAAAAAGGCAAAACTTCTCCAAAATGTAAAAGAAAATAAACAAAGAAACAGCATAACCTAAAAACAAAACTCGCCTATGTAGAAAGGCTTTATTCGGGGAAGCGCGCTAACTTTTTTGTATACTTGGTGCGAACTAGAAAGCGAAACGATTTACGGAAGTTTCGTGCTAGTGCTCCCGCCAACTTTTTTATAATCCATTAGCTCACAGCATTTTTACATTGCGATATTGCATTGCGACTCCACGTTGATGGTTTTACGGCCACTTAAAACAACTGAAAGCAATGTAGTGAGCAGTGACCGCTACTAAATAGCCTACAGAACTTTGCTTAACACCGTTATTCATATAACAGCCATTTTGAAATATGGTTTCATATGTTAAGTGGCGGAAAAAGTGGTCCGGTCCGAACCATTTTTAATAACATTCGTCCTTAAACCAGTGGCACATCGGTTTAGGAAATATCATCAAAACATCTCAAAAGTGGCGAATTGTACTTTAAACAAAAGAAGAGAAGAAACAAAAAAAAAAAGGAAGAAGAGAACGAGACGGACAGAGGGACACACACGTTTTAGTGAGATTCAGAAAGTGATTCTGTGAGTTTCTCTCTGAGTGAGAGTCAAAAAGTGGCCCCGACCAGAGCATACAACGGCGCAAACTTAATATATCCTTGTACCACAACTGGTGCGGGGTAACAGCACAAATCCGAGAAAAGGCTTACACCTAACTTAATACTAGGGAAAATTACATGAATAAAATTGAGTTTGCAAGAAAAACTATGTGTGTTCGCATGGGCATCAACGCCCCGAACAGATCTTTTTACACAGTTACTCTTCTACTTCGTCTCTAACCTCGCATTATATAGATATTTTTATTTATATGTATAAATGGGTAAAAAATATGTTTATAATTGGAATAAATCTCACCGTAAATCCACGAGTATTTGTCTCATCAAATGTTGATTTGGCTCTGGCTTCAGTACGTGTCTTTTTTAGGATCTCAAATTCCGGTGGTTTAATATGAACAATGAACGGTTTTAATTGAACCGTTCTCAAAGCCTTAATGGCCTGATAATGGGGACTTAAAAGGCACACACAGCCAGCATTTATAATGGACTTGACACTCTCCCCGGAAGTGCCATATAAATGACCCTTATATTCGCCATGTTCAACGAATTTGCCAGCCTCGATGTCTGCTTCCATTTTTTCGCGCGTAACAAATATATACTCGCGACCCGCTACCTCGCCAGTACGCATAGGTCGAGTAGTGTCTGAAATAAAAAATAAATCTACAGATAGTTTTCCGTTTCTGCTAAAAGTTTTTTTAATTTACTTACACGGTACCGGGCTGCGGTACTTTTCAGAATCTCTAGCTATTAAACGTCTTCTCAATTCATTGCGACCAACACCCGGTGCCCCAATTAGAACTACTGGCCTAAACACACCAGGTCTGGGATAAAGTTTGGCAACTTCTTCATAGGTGGCAATCATTTCGCGATCGAAATCGTCGTTCTCTGTTAAATCATACATGATTTTTTTAGTTTTCGGTTGACGACAAGAGGAACTCGAACTGCTTGAACGCATTAAAGGTGAAGCGGGCGGGGTAGTGCATATGGAGGCACAGGAACCTTCTGATGAATAATTATTGGCCAATGATGGGAAAAGTTGGATTTCATTTTGATTTCATTTTCAAAGATTAGTTGTTAATAAGGATTATGATAGACAATGAATTAATATGTTGATAACGATGATATGACGATGAGTGTATGACGATAATGCAGGCCATGATATTGTTTAAAAGTTTGAACAAAGATAATATGTAATAGTAAATAAACTATTTAAGCAAAAAGCTTGCGAGATGTTAAGCAGACTATTATTGATAAGAAAAAGAAAATATTTCAAAGCAATTATTAAATTACTGCTCTATGCAAAAGTCCGCAGCGCACCAGTAATCTCTAGAACAAGTAAAAACATTACAAAGGGGGGGGCCAATCATTAAATACCTTCCGCCACGCCTCAATTATCCACATTTGAAAATAAGACGCTATACGAGAAATGGTGGCAAAGTAGTCCGATCATTTCAGCAGCGTTCGCCCCTTACCCACAGAAAACAAGACGGACAGTAATTGATGGATGGACACGCTTAAATCAAACCAGAAAATGATTCGGAATCGGTCGAAATAATAGAAGATGGGTCTATCTCAAGTTCTTCTAGGTGTTGCACACATCCGTACAAACCTAATGTACCCTTACCTCGTAAGTCGTATAGGATATAAAAGGTGAATTACTTAATATTGAGGTCATGACCTATATCTCAACGTCCTTGATAATCGTTGGTATTGATGAAAATCTTCATTTGATAAGAAGAGGCAGAGAAGAAGATTCCTGGAGATCAAAATCTTAGCAACGAAACTTCGCAATTAATATTCTACAGACACTTTCGGTTTCTTCGCAACCCTTTGCGAACATTGTGTTTTGGTTTATTCACTATTGTTTCGATAGTAATTTTATGACGTAATGTTGTATCTAAAGAAATAGAAAAACGAAAGGCGCTTACTCTCCGTCTTTTATATACACATGTCACAGTACGTGAAATAAGTCTAAGAACATGTTATGTACATATTGAGCATAATCGAGAATATGTAACGCATGTGCAGGAAAAAACGAAGTGTGAACGTGAGATCTTTCAAAACATTGCTACGGAATTACGCATAGACGCAATAAATTAAAATTACATATTATGCCTACTTTTCGATTCGCTGTCATTGACTTCACGTTGAGTACGTTCATGTATCAGACGTCTTTCCTGCAAGGCACGACTTGGTATTAAGCCAGCTCTAGCCGTACGTTCCGATTCTCTACGGGCTTGCCACCAATAAGCATCATCCTGTGAAACAATATGCAGAATATCGCCCCGTTGAAATGCTAAGCCCGCCTCTTTACAAGGTATATAGGGATCTATATCGGGACTGTAGTCGAAATGTGCACGCACGCGTACTTTTGATTCACGTTGAGCGCCTTTACCGTCCGATGGTACTAACTTGAAAGTTATGGTGCCCTCAGAATTTTGCTAAAAAAAATTTTAAAAAAATTAATAAAATTGAATTAATTATTAGGACCACGCACATACACATACAAACACAAAAATTGTTGCAAAGTGCTTGTGTGCATGCGCGTGTATATATACGAAGATTTACCAATATACTCAGTACATCGCCCGGTGTTTTACCCTCCACATTAATGCCATTCACTTCGATAACCTCATCACCGACATGTATAAGACCTGAACGATCAGCGGCTCCGCCATGCATAATCCGTGCTATGATTATTTTGCCGGTCTCTTCTTCCGTTTTAATAGTGGCACCCTAAAAAAATTGTTTACTTTGAATTTTTCTTTTTTTTTTTTTTTCAGTTTTGAAATTTTCAAAGCATTCTTTGATTTTTTGTTCAGACAAAGTACGACACAAATGTTTTAAGCGATTTGCGTTTCTCACTAGCGTAAAAGCGTATAAATATCATTGCTTACAAAATAATTATGAGGTTTTTTTTATTTTCATTTTTTTTTTTTTGCTTTTTTCATATTGTCTTTCCATTTTTTGTTTTTTTTTTTTCGAAGCTGCTTAAAATAATTTAAAATTTTAAAAAAATTTTGTATTTTCGTTCTTCTCTTTAAACTGCCAACATTTACTTACAACAATTGGTTCCGCACTTTGTGCTCCTGACTGTATGTTTGATGTCAGAATATTTCGTTTTAATATTAAATTAATTTCAAAAACGTTTTCATTTTTTTATATCGTTTGAAACAAATAAATGAAGAAAACAAAAACGAGAAACACGTAACGATCTTTTTAAATAATTGTTGAAGATATTTTAATTTAATGCTTTTTGGTTTATGATGAATGCTAAAGGAGGTTCGTTCGAGTTGAAAATGTATTTTAAGAATGATAATAAAATGAATGAGAATGGCATCAATTTTTGCATCCCTTTCGTAGACTGAAAGTCGGCAAAAGGAATTTAGAAAATTGCTACAGTCTCGAGGTGCATTTTTAGTGCATAAGCCCGCTCGTCTTAACATACAATTACGACTTTTAAAGCTCTAATAACGAAGCGCGGAACGAAGGAAGGTCTGTGCTTGGAGTACATTTACACCTAATATTTCTGATTCATAATTGAAGGGATTGTTTCCACTTTTCAACTAATTTCTTGCAAAGTAAGTATTAAGTGATTACAATTGAATGAGTGGGGTTTCATTATCTCTCGTCATATTTACTTATTGTCAGCTTAGGTTGGGTGATTTTTGCCGCCAAAATTAATTTTTTGTAAGAAAAATTTAAACTCACCGAACTTTGGTAAACAATGAACATTTCTTAGGTTAGGTAGAATTTATTTCAAAATAATTTTAGACTGACTATAGTTTAGCGAATCCAATATCAATTTACGTTAAAGTTATTTCTCGAACAAAAGTGATCGTAGTTGCACACAAACTTAGTTGGGACTGTGTGTCTCCACTACCGCGAATACAAGGGCCGCTACGAAACTTTACTAATATAAGCGGAAACCGAACGATTAAATGAAATTGGCGCAACCGAATAGAATACGCAACGTTTCAAGATCCATTCTGGTTCCATGACAAATATTTTGATATTTTGGATACCACTTGGAGAGTTATGCTTCACTCCTAGCAATCGGCATCAATTTATTATCCCTAAAATTTTGAGGAAACTTCGAGAAGCATGATGTGATGAGTTTTCTGTGCAAAAGCCTCAAAATATATTAATGAAATTGTTTGCACCTGACCGCAATATTGACATCCATCGATCTATCTGGCAAAACGATAGGAAACTTCTGAAATCACATGACAAATGATTGTTCATACCTTGCATGTCTCCTAGCAATCAGCATGGATTTATCTCCAAAGATTTGATGTGCAGGATGTAAAGCGTTTCGCCCACATCTGGACCATAACATTTCCTACAGACATTGTTATGCGAAAAGTCTCATAATAAAGCGGCGAAATTGTTTGTATCTAACTGCTATTGGGGCCATTGGGGACTTATCTGGCGAGATAGTAAGAACATTTTCGTCTTTTCCTAGTCTATCACAACTCAAAAAATAATAATAATTTTCTTCTTTTTAATTAGTTTTCTACGGCTTAACTATAGGTTTCTTGAGCTGGATCAAGGCTTTCTGCAATCTCCGATGGTGTCGAAAAAAGATTTTGTTCTATTATATTCTTGGCAGTATCCGTGTCGATCAAAGATGATCGCACAGAACATGGCTTATCAGAGAGGTCGAAATCAATCATTTGAAATTTTTCGAAATATTTTATTCTGCAAGTTCTATCTTGCATCAAAAATGTGCAATAAACTTGTAATAAGCTTCTGTAGCATCTCTTTCTTCTTGGAATTCGTACAAAATACGATGGCGTGAGTAGCGGTCATCGGTGGCCTTGCAATCACGATCTCATCTCACTTAACTTTTACAAAAATGATATTCATTGTGTGTCGTAATCGCAACGTGTGTATGCTGCTTAAATTTTTGCAATGAATCTTCACAACTGAATCTAGACTGACTTAGTTGTATCAAGTGATAGGTTATTTTGAGGTTATTAAGATCTTTCCAAATTCTTCAAAATCTAATATGAACATTATTTCGAAGGCATTTCGTTAACTATTTGAGCGATTGAATTTATTTAAAATATATTTAAAACAGAAAAGTTTTCCATTAAAGTGAGTTTGACTGACTAATTTCACTGCTTATATACTTATAATATATATGTGCTGTTTTACTTTTGAAATCTTCAGAATTTTATAGATATGAAAAATTGTTCAAAAACGTCACAATGCAATATAAACATATATAAAGTGCAGCTTAGTGAAGAGTTTTTCAGATGCACTCATAAACTGTTTATTAAACATAATGAAATAAGGATTAATTTTTCTTTATCGGCCTCACTGTACTGAAAATTGCCTCGCAGGAGCGACTAATTGATGACTCCACATTGACGAGAAGACATTGCGGGAGGACAAACCAAAATTATTTCTCTCTCTCTCTCTCTCTCTCTCTCTCTCTCTCTCTCTCTCTCTAACTTGAATCTAATTCTTTTATTCGTTTGGCTTTTATGCCGCGCCACAATGTCTAACTTATCGAGAATTTATTGTACAGTCAATTATTCATTTCGGTATGAATGAATAAACTCTTTTTGTATGTATGTAACAACAGTCACTTAAAGTGCAACACCAACGGCCATTGAAAAACGAGAACAAAAATAAAAGTTGATAGAAACCGTTTAGTAACACTCCTTAAAATTCAATTAGTATTAAATGCGACTTAACGGCGACCACAAAAGTGATGCGCATAAATGCAATTATACTTTGTAAATGTTATCGCATTTATGCAAAACTACGTCACCCGATAGATGTACGAATTCATGGTGAAAATCCAATCCAATTACTATCCAAAGCTAAATGGCTAAGCATAGTTTCATTTCCGTAGGTGCGAAAGTCAAATTTATAATTTCGGCGGAAGGATTGGCTCAATTGATATCTAAAGTAGTTGGAATCTGGAGGCGAGTAGTAGGTCCGTCATTTCGATTTTTCATTTGCTCTCATCCTATACAAAACCTGAGGTTTTCGGAATAACGACTTTTCAAAAAACTAAGGCGCTATTTGAGAAGTTATCGAAAAAGTGGGCCGATCATCATTTCAATAGCTTTCGTCTTTGATCCAAAACACGTCATTATAGCAAAATTCTTCGAAATATCTTAAAAATGGACGCCTGTATGCTGAACACAAAGAAACGAGATGGACAGACCGATAGACAAACTTAAGTCGATTCATCAAATGATTCTGAATCGGATGGTTGATAACAAAATTGAATCTATTACAAGTCGTTTTGGATGTTGCATACAATCACCCAAACTTGATGTACCCTTGTGATACAATTGTTTTGGGATATAAAGAGAAAGAAAGAAACCAACAAACATGTTTTCTCCATTGGATTGACAGGCCAAATGAATTTCACCGGTTTTAGAGATGCCGATGAATATTTTCATAAAAAATCGGTAAAAATTTCAGTTTTCAAAAAAAAACCTATGAAGAAATGCTAGCGACATGTTGCTAAGTAATTATTAGCATTACTTACTACGCCTGCGAGCGTTCAATTTCAATGTAATACAAACGATATATTTTGATATTCAAAGCGACCTTATTACGCACAGAATTATGCATAGATGCAATAGTTTACTCACTCATAAGTTCAAAAGCAATTTTCCCGCACAAATGTATAGGATGGAAATGGATTTAAAAGACAAGCGACAAAGGACAAAGAATACGTTAACACTTATTGTGTCAATAGACCTACGGATTGATAGTAAACGTTTGAATTGAGTGATAATAGAAATAGAGGCAGACACAAAGCCAAATGTGATTTTATATATATATATATATATATATATATATATATATATGTATATAATTGTGTGGAACGTCACATTGAGACAGTAATAGAAAAGGATGTTTGCAAAGACGACAAATGATAGCATAAAGCCTGAGCATAATGTCACTGGCGATGATGATGATAGTGAGAGAGAAAAGCATAAAAAGCGTAAAAGTGTGAAAATTATAGATTACTTTATATCGCATGAATGACTGAATGATTGATAATAGGCGCATAAAAATTGTAATTGTATATATGTATAAACGAATGTATGTGTTGGGGAAAGCAAGTGTTAAAATCCGTACTCACCAGAGGTTCATTGCTTTTCACTAATTGCACAATTTTAATTGTTTCCTCATCTTCATCCATTTCAACGGGCAGTTCCGGTAAATGTGGATAAAAATCCTTTTGTGCAATGGCATCGTGGGCGTGAAGTAAACTCTGCGTATTTGAAACAAACGAGAAAAACACGAAAGCCTTCAATAAGTAAGCAAAGACCAGCCAACTAAAGGCAACCATATACTTGCACTTACTTGTAAATGCGGTTTCTGTAGCAAGTGAAATACTTCTCGACAATCTTCATTTAAATGACAACGTTGTGACAATTGTTCCAATGCTTCATATAAGATCTGATAAAAATTTTATATTTAATTAAAAAACTATGTTAAGCGAAGAGGATAGATAGAGGTTCGCACACATACCACAGCCGAATTAGAGAGCATCGGTGCTAAACGATCATCTCTACCCACTTTGGCTACTTTGGTGTGTACATTAACTAAAGCATTGAGTTCCTTTGATTCCAATAAAGCTTTTAGAAAATCGATTTCCTGATCATTTGATAACGTTTCAGCTTCTTTTAGGGTTGTTATCAACTTGGAAAGTGCTGCACAGGACCCATGCAAGATTTCAATTAAAATAAGAATTCCTTTAAGTAATTTTCGAATTTTAAATTTTACCTGGATCATAATTTGCATCACTGGCGGCCATAACTTCAGCTGTCATATTTCATAAAAGTTTTGTTAAAGTAAAAAAAAGTTCTTGAAAGTTTTCCTTTTTCCTTAATTACGTCCTTTTCAATGAAATAACTGTCAATGAGAAGGATAAGAACAAAATTAATTTTTATCGCTTTAAAACTAAAAAAAAGGAAAATAATAATAAAAAGTTTTTTTTTACAAAGAAATTGTTTGCATTAAATCTACTTTATAGATTTAACATTTCCTAACTGCATTCAGAGAAAACTTTTGACCAACACCTGACCCGCTATAAGGCTACACAAAATTTGCGATGTAGAGCATATTAAATTTATGCGGATGTGTGTGTAACGCTCAGATGGACTTAAGATGAACCCATCTTTTTTTATACCGATCGATTCAGAATCATTTACACACATCTGTCTATCCGTCCGTCTAAGGTGCAATCTATAGTTGGTAATTTTTGACACATATGAACCAAATTCGGTACGCTGACGTATTTTCAGCCAAAGATGCTTATCTTGGAAAAGAATTAGATGGGATCACTTTTTCATACAAACCCTAATTTTGGAAGGTCGTTATATGCAATTTTCAAAATGCCTCGACCGAAAGAGTAAGTTAAGTTGAGTAGGAGGATTTCGGCATTCTGTATTGATGTGAATAATTTGTAGCTCATGGGGCACGCTTTTACGAAAACTGAATATTCTTATAGTAAAAGGGTATACCTTTTTACAATTTTTCAAGGTAAAAATTGGTCTGTAATAGTAATTTGACAAAGAAATTAATCTTACCGCATATCACCGCATATAAGGACTTTCAGGAAAAATAAACCATTGTGCGCCAAAAAGGTTTCATTTTCAATATTTCATGGTGAGATTTAATCTGTAGTAGCGCATTGGCATTAAAATGAACTGGAGGAAATTTTCACCACTTGAGTATATTTTTTGAACCTTCATTCCTTCTAAATATTTCCGCGAATACTAAGCCTTTTGGCAATGAAGGAAATTGTTAGTATTTTATGATGAATGTTGATCCGCGGTAACAGTTTGGCATAAAACTTAACCATTGGAAATTCGCATAACGTAGATCTATTTTTTAGACCCCGCCATATATTTGGGGTACTAATGAAAGGTAATCCCTTTTATGGTGAAGCAGTGTAATTTGTAATTTTTTTTATAATGAAAATGAGTGAGAAGTAATAAAACCTTTCACAAGCAAATTACGTATACTAAAATTGGGTTAAGTCAGTCCTTTTTTTTCTTTCATAGGATGTCGCCTTCAGAACTAAATGAGTAAAGAGAAGGAGATAGGAAGATGGTGGCACTCTTACGAGTACGTTCCCGATCACTGCGTGTTATGCTTTTAACGACTGGGCGCTTACTGTAACTGTAACCATAAGAGTACCCATTAGTTTCCGCTGTTTGATAAAAGTTGGCCTAACCGGAAGATTTGGCCACCCTATCATCATCACATCTCTTTCCGTCTGAAAATGTCAAGGTTTTTGTTGAATAAGCATTATTTGCGGACAGTTTACGTTTCCTGTCTAATTTTGAGGATAGTGCTATTAAGCCTTTATAAGTAATAAACAGTGAATGCGTTACAATATTCAAAGTCCAAATGATCACGTGGCAGAGTAGGAGAACCATTAACAACAAAGATGACGGCAGTGCGCCGTATACTGGACTTCGTTTCAATCAGATAAAACTACCACTAAGGATTGTTACAAATAATAATTGATCCGATAGCGACAAAAAACAGGCGTGATAAGGCAAAAGTCGGGATATCGGGAGTTTTCAGTTTGAAAACATTTGAACCCATATAGCAAAAATCGTTCAGGAAATATTTTCAACCTGTTATGTACGACACACTGCCTAGTGTATTCACCGGACATTGCCCTTGCCGATTGTCACTTGTTCCGGTTGATAACACATACTGTGTCTGATCAGCGCTTTTCCTCATATGAAGAGACGAACAATTAGGTAAGTTCGTGGATAGGTTCAAAATATGAAGGTTTCTTCCGACATGGGTTGGGAAAAAGCAATGGCTACTGATCGACGCTAAAACGCAATGTACCGTTCTTTGGCAATAAATTCGCAACCTTTAGTAAAAAATTGGGTAAAGTGCATTGAGATTTGGAACTCGCACGCACTGACTTGGTAGTCGCGAAATGTATTGATGAATGTATTCTCATGAAAATGCATGAATAATCGTATTAAGCGAAATGAAGTAAGGTATTTAGAGGTTAGTCTTCGCCAGCTATAGTGTTTTTATTTATGTCTTGTTTTTGTTTTACTCAATATCACCAATTGAAAATTTACTCTGCAACCAAAGAGCCCTTCAATGCTTTCCTGCTCTACTGCAACATCTTGATACTTGAAAATATTGTCGAGTCTTTCTTTAAAAGTTTTAAGTTGTTTCTTTTCTTCTTTTTTTTTTTTTTTATTTATTTGCATTGAAAATTTAAATTTTAAAAATTAAAAATTGGAATTTGCTTTTCATTAAAGAAATTATGCCAAAAAGGCTAATTATAATTTCACGTCACCAAAAAGTATTCGGTTAATGGCGCCCGTTTTTCTATTGGGACATATATATTTTTGGCATTCATAACATGTCGCGTTAGAAATGAAATAAGAAAAACGAAAAATGAAACAAAAGAAAAAGAAAACATGCCTTGAAGAGAACATAATTGAAATAAGAGCTTTTAACGCATAAAAAAAGTATTTATGCAAAAGTGGCGGCATCTCTCTAATGGCGATGGTCACTTGCATTCGTACATATCTAGTATACAATACACGTACACAAACAATACATATCTATATGCACAAGCATGCAAGCACATAACATGGTGCGTCAGACATGATAAGCATACGAATGCCTTTTAAGTTAAGTTAAGCTCAGGTGCACCTAGATAGCAACAGCATCACTTTGAGGAGTGCAATTAAGAATTTTTGACTTTTACATTCTCCATATTAATTGAAAATTTCAATTTTTAATAATTAAATTTGAAATTTTTATTTTTTTCAATTGAATCAATAAAAGTGAACCTTGAATTTTGTCATCGAGTGATTTCGAAAAAGTATCTGAAAATGACCTTACATTGACCTGATATTTGATGCTAGATAACCCGCCCAACTTTGTCATTGCATTAAATTAATGCGTTTTGATGAACAATATTTTTAGTTTTTCCATCAGCAACATTTAAAAACAATGTTGACAGTTTTCCAACATCTGGGCGCAGTGCATGCAACAGTGCATGTGAAAAAAAAAAGAGGTTTTCAAGATTTCGTTGAGCTTATGAAACAAAACCCATTTTCTCTTTAGCTGCTTTTTCTCGAGATTGTATAGTTCTTGCTAATCGGGGCTTGAGAGAGATCCATCTTTTATTACATCGAACGATTCAGAGTCACTTTCTGAATCGATTCAAACTTGTCTGCCCCTCCGTCTGTCCGTCTGCCTCTCTTGTTCTCTTGTGTTCGACCTACCGGTCGCAATTTCCGAGATATTTTGATGAAATTTGGTACAATGATGTCTTTTGGCCCAAGGACAAACGGCTCCGATTGGTCCACTTTTCCCACCACTTCTCATATAACGCTTTATTTTGAAGGACAATAGGGAAAGGCAAAACTGTAGAGTCGTGCAATGTCGGTCCCCATTAAACTGTTTTCACTACCACCGAATATATTTATGCATTGTCTGATGGTTCCTTACATAAAAATGGAAATTCAAAGTATTCAGAACAAGAGTGGTTTTGCAAATTTTTTTCACAATATCTTTATATGCGAGCATTATCGTTAAAAAAAAAACACTAAGCTATTTACTTATTTTGGAACATCTGTTGCTATAAAAATTGCATCATGTAGAGCATAGTTTATAATATTTATCTCATTTACAAGTGCTGCTGAATAAAAAAAAATTTGCCCCATACATTTAAAAATTGCTGTTGTTCTAGGTGTGGAGTGCAGGAGGTCGAGATCTGATAAAAGATTTTCTTCCACTAAATCCAAACAAAATTATTTCGTTTTTTTTTTTTTCCGTTTTCATTAAATCTTTCGTAATCTCTTACAACCCCTGCAGATATTCGTTCATAACATTTATACGTTTGTACCTTTGAACGCGTATTTACGCTGGCCCTTTTTCCATATGTCCGAGCAACTATCCATAGACGCCCGCTCGTTGATAGCTTATAAATGCATTGTATTAGGAAATTGTTTTCTATATTTATGCTTATGTGTACGCATATCGTAGCCAAGGGGTCAATAACCTAAAGTACACTAATGGAAACGGTGAATCATTATTGCTATATATACATAGATATAACGTGTATCAATGCAAATATATGTATATTTTTCCGTATGCTAATAATAATATTTTCCTTTATTAATTAAACGGTTGTTGTGTGTTCTCATCATGTGCTTTGTATGTATGTGATTATCTCTCAAAGTTTTGTCGATATTGATGTTAATTAACTTTCAGTTTTAATTTTATATATTTTTGTTACTAGCAGTATGTGCCCAGCAAGATATGCACGTACTCTGCCCGCCTTCCCTAGAATTGTGCGTATAAATATAGTTTTTGTTTTGACCCAATTTCTTTTATTTTTTTTTTTTTTTTTGCTTTTTGGTTATATTTTAACGAAATGCAGAATATTGGCACCAGAAAAATTTTGAATACATATACGTATGCGTATAAGTAAACAAGTAAGCAAGCTATGTTCGCTTTCGTAGACAGCTACTATAGAGTGAGAGAAAACGTTTCGGAAATCTACGGCCCTGCTCTAATCAAATGGTCGTTGAAAATATCATTTATCACTAGCCATAGATCTTTACTTTTTTTTCTCATGACATTTCTCGTCTTTCTAATGCGAGATTTGTCCTGAAGTCGTTTTCAGTGATGTTGTCAAAGAATTTCGAACGAAACTACAAACGTTGAACGTTACATTAAAAAGTTCTGAGTAACTAGTTTTTATGATTTTCGTAGCTATTGCCGAAGGATGAGAAAAAAACTTTTGCAACACTCAGGAGGAAAACCCATTTAAGCATGTCTGTCTATCTGTATGTAAATATTCTCCTGATCGCAAGAAGAAAGCCATTAGCCTCAAATTTGCCAGAAGCATT